TGTAATGTAATCATAGAATCACAAGGTTGGAAACAACCTATAACATCATCTAGTCAACCGTCTTCACATTACCACTGCTACCACAAGCTACTAAACCAGATCTCACAGCTCCTCATCCAGACAAATAATAAAGGACTCTCAGTTATGGCAGGCACAGAGATGGTTACCTGGCTTTGAATGCTCACTTTTCCTCATACAAAAATTAAAATGTGCTACCTAATTAAAAAAGAAAACCAAACTCAACAAAAACAGCATGTTTAAATATAAATACTTTTTCACATACCACAAAATTAAATATGGGGACTTGGTATGGGTTTTCTTTTGCTGAAAGTAAAAATCTTTCTATAAAGCAAGTAGCATAATTTAATGGAAAGAGGGGCAATTAGGAATTGTTGCACCAGACAAAGCTCTGCTGAATTTTCTTCAGGATGTCCCCAGACTATGGAAGGCCAAATATGCTCATGCAAGTCCTTGCTTCATATTTTACTTTGTTCTCTACTTTGGCTCCTGCTCTTGGCTATTGTCAAAGAGTGGATTTGGGATTACTTTGACTCTCATCCAATTCAGAGATTAGACTAAAAATCTGTTTTTATTTCCTTTTCAAACCTGTCATATAAGTAATTTAGGAAGGAAGGAAAAAAAAATCTAAAACTCAAACCCATAGGATCTATTTTCTTCATTGTCAAAATACAGGTACTTCACCTTCTTCATCCCTTTGGGGCATTCAGATTATCCATGCTTCTTTTTACATGGCAACCAAGCTTCTGTAAAAGAAAGTGCTGGGAATGAAATCTGTACATCTATCTTCTTCTTAGTCAGCATAAACTAACATGGGCTTTGCGGTGTTCAAGAAAATTTATTTTAATTGTGGAGCTCTTTCTGATGCTGTAAAGACTTTCAGAAGGGCCTCTGCCTTCCTATTCTGCTTGTAATCTCCCCTGCAGAGCCTTGCTGTAGCATCCGGCTGTACCATGTGCATCGCTCATGGTGTCTCTTTTGTTCCTATTCTCTCTTTTCTGATCAGACAAAAAACTTAACAGGAACTACCAATACTGAAATGTGTGAGATGATCTGGAAGTGTTTGCCGAAGTGCTGTTATGCCCAAAGCCTTGCGTCCTGAGGTGTTTGGGTCTAAGCAGTTGTTTCTAGTGGCAGAACAGCTCTGTAGGAGTGATGGTGGGATGGAGGAGTTTTAAGCCCTGCTTGAAATGTCGGGGACAGTGCGTAGGAACAGCACTGAGTCATGATGGCTGCGCGGGTGGACAGCAGTGGATAGGCTCTTTGTCTTCTCTTCGAATCTGCTTTCAAATGAGCTTGCCAAATGAATTGTCCATTCTGGTATAAAAGGAAAATAAATTTCTGCTGGTTGTGATGAACTTGAAAATTAGTGGCTTGTCAATAATACAAGTCTCCTTAATCAAGGAAGATTTGGAGGGCTTTCTTGAGATTCAGCTAAGCAGTTGCTCGCCAGTCACTATGCAAAAACCAGTGAGATATCCTCAGTGTGCCTGAATGGGAAGCTTTCTGTGCTTTTGCATATACTTGCTATATTTAGCAGTGTGGAAGTGCTGGTAGAGTTATAACACAAGTTCTTGGTTTTTTTCCTTACTTGTTCAGTTTAACCACCAAGGTACAATCTTGTCCTAACTTTTCACTTTCTTCATAGAATTGGCTCAACACTGAGCTGTGTTCTTCAAGTTGTTTGGAGATCTGCAGACGTAGTACCACAATGAAGTGCCATATTGAGGTGCTTGTTAAACTAGAGAAAAATTACTTGGAAAAAAATACATATTTTTTACCAAGATTTCTTGAATCTTAGTGCTTAAATACTAGTATAAGAAGCCTATGTAAAATAGAGAGGGAAACTTTAATCACTAGACCACAGTGACTCAAACATTTATGATGATGTATCACAAAATGCTTTAATTCTCTTGTCTCACCTTAGTATGACTGGTTGCTGATGATAAAAAGCTCAGATAGGGCGAGAGTGTGGAGGAATGTTAAAAGTTGTAGCTAGATAGAAAGAATGACTAGGGAGCAACATTCACCCTTCTCATGCTGATAGATAGGTTGGTGTGCTGGGAATGAGTGCTGTGGTGTAAAAGAGAGAAAGAGGAAGTAGAAAATGCAACTGCTCTGCAACCTCAGCACAAAATGCCGGTGAGAAGCAAGCACGCAACTGAGGTCGGAGCACTTCCTGGTAAACATGTTGGCATTGCCACATGACACAAATTGCCTGAGGGTCTGAGGGTTCAGCAGCTGGTTGCTCTCCCTGTAACAACTCACACAAAAAGTGTGTTGGGAAGGAATTTGATTCAGTTGATCTAAATGGTAGAGATGGCGTGTTTACACCTAGGGACAGTAGCATTTCTAAAAGTCATTACTTGAGAAATAAGTGTGCAAGCAAAAATATGGCAATAGGTCAGCCTCTTCTTGCTGCTATTTCATAAAAGGACTTTTTTCAAATTAAAATCTTGAAGGCAATCAATACATTCTACATTTCATAAAACTGTTTAAGGACAGTATTTTACTTTTAAATGCAGCAGACCCCAGTGGATGACGGAATTCAGTGCACTCTGGGTGAGTTACCTCCAAGTTGCTTATTATTTATTGATACATTTTTGGCAAACTGTTAAATGTGATGATAAAGATAAATAGTTGCACTGGCTTTTTATCTATTTATTGATTTTACGCTTGGGATGAAACATCCTTATTTTGTGTTCTTTACAAGTATATAGGTGTGCTAGTCTTAGGAATTTCAGAGTACAACTTTATAGAGTGTATTCTACTGGTTAATTTTTCCCCTTCAAGAAAAGCATTACATTCAACAAATCCCATCTTATCCCCAAGATTTTTTTATATGAAAATTTGTATAAAGATCCTTGTTCCTTTTTCTTTCTGTGCAGCAGCAATATTAATACAACTGGAACTGCAGAAGACTTTTTATCAAAGATGAAAGGAAAGTGGTGGCATAAAGTTGTTCAAGAAATGACTTTTAAGTAAATAGTAGGATTTAGAATTCTATACATATGCTAAACTCCTTGATTAGTATAGTGCTGCAATAAAACCACTGTATAATGTTTAAATTTGGCAATCATCTGTTTTCAAGTCACTTTAAGCAATTCTCTGGTCACTTTTCTGGAAACTGTTTAGTTTCTCTTTTCCAATAACGGCGTCATTGAAAAGACAGCTAATATACTGCCCTTCTGTGAAACGTTTATTTTGAGGAACTCCAAAATAGAGGTATCAGTGAATTTTCTTCACATTCGTCTAATGTAGGTGATTACTGTATGCCTCCTTTAAAAGCATGGAGGTAGAACTGTGGATGTGTCAGTTCAGAATCAAGAGGTGAGTCAGTGCTAGAGCGGGGTGGGAGCCTCTCTGCACTTGTTCCACACCCCCCCACCCCCCACCCTCCAACCAGAGGCCAGTCCATCAGCATTTTATTCTCAAAGTTAGAGGTAAATACACAGCTGATTTCCCTGTAATTCTGCAAAATCATACTCCCACAAGGTTGATGTGGTCCTGGAGAGAGAGGAATACAAAGCTGGAGTGATATGCGTATGACATCTCACTATTCTCTCAACACCAGAGTGCTCAAGGTCTTCGTAGTTCCCTCAGCTTCAAATTCACCTACTTATAAAAAAGTTAAAACAGGAAAAACCTTCACAGAGGTTTACTTCTTAAGAGGAAAGCATTTTGGTAGTGGGAGTTGGTAGCTTTCTGTCATAGATGTTAAGTGTCAGAAACAACTGTTTTGCAGGTAACAGTCGGGTATGGCAAGTATGAATCATACTACTTGACAGAGATGCAACTCTTCCCACTTGTGGTCTTAAGCCTGAGACAGACATCACACAACTGATATATACATATACATTTTAATAAGTGATGTATAATCTGCTTTCTGTGACTTTCTGGTACCTTTTTGTACCTTCATCGGATACTTGGCTGAATAGGCAAAGGAAGGCTAAAATGATACCTTATTTTCCCACCTGTGAAGAAACAGAGATTAACAGAGTAATTTTAATTAAAAAGGCACAGTATCTAATGAGATTCTATTGCAAATCTGTGACTTGGATCACCTTTTTTTTTTTTCTTTCTGATTCCTGTGCTCCTCCTCCCAGAGAGAAAAATAAAAGTGCCACGTCTCGAATGCTCAACCCACAGACGTTTCCCCTACGTAGTATCCTTATGAAACAAATACGAAATCTGCTGTAGGAACACGATAGAGAAGTAGATTAATCTGTGAGCTGTCCTCATGTTCCTGGCACATACAGCTCTGGTTGTGCTTCTTCAATCGTTTGTTTCTTTGCAAGGAGCTTGTCAGATTAATGAGTATTGGGAATTCCTACATAATGCCCCTGTCAAGTTTTTGTGTGTTCTTGTAGTCATATTAACATGAGACTCCCTGTGGGTCCCAGGATTCCAGAAATCTCATTTCTGCCCCAGTCTCCCCCATTCACTCTCTCAGACAGGAGCCTAGTGATTTCTTCAACAAACTTATGCACAATTTTCAGCATCACTTTTTAACTCCTTACATCACTCACCCTATTGAACTTTTTCTTCCTGTGATGTGCATCATCACTCAGAAGTTAGTGACAGTCTCTTACTCTTCATCTCTACTGTGTCTGTGAGAAGCTAATAATAATAACAATAAAATTATCCTGTGCTACGTATATGTCAACCTAATGTTCCTGGAAGTAACTTTACTTGCTGCTCTCTGTGCACAGTTATTCACTATTTGCTCTGTTTCACAGAGTAATAATTTCAACTTTGCACAGACTTTCACACTCAATTTACTGGAGTAGTGATTTCCAAACAATGTGCCAAAAATCCACTTCCTTCAGTCTGTCTTTTTTGTCACCTTTAACTGTTTGTTTCCCCTGCCTCCCTTGCTTTTAATTTTATATGACTAGGAAAGAGATGTATTTCCCAGTCTAAATAATAGTTTTAAATATTTACATTAAAGCTCTTATCAGTTATTTCACATTACAAAGCTGTTTATATTTAAGTTCATTTTAATTTGAGACCTTTTTTCTGTCAATTCTTGATCACTCTCTTCATTGATATTTAGTCTCACAATATTTTTTCCATTATATATTGGTGATTATTTTACACTATTCTTCTACACAGGGCTGTGTCACTGATTTACACAAAAGCATTCCTACACTTATTATATTATTCACCAATCCCTGCCCCATTTGTCTGAATATTTTGTTCTGCTTTTTCACTACAGCTGTACCTTAAGAAGAAGCTGGCTTTGATCATGTTCTACTCCTTCTCTTTTAAGTTAATGTTTTCAGCAACAGAGCCATTAAGTTAATCAGTTGAGTATTTTCCACTTCAAATGTTATTAATGGAAATTTAACAACAAAAATTCATACACTTAACTTTGTCTAACTGCTCATCTTCAGATAATACACTGGAGAGAAATTTTTACAGACATCATCTTAGCTGTTTTGTGTTAGAGAAGGTGGAAAATGAGTGGTAAACAGGAAAAAAAGAGAGACAGAAATGTAAGTTTAGTATTGTATTCTGAAGGATTAACTAGTACTTCCCGAAGCTGATGCAAAATACAATATGCACAAAACACAAATACCAGTCACAAAAGTATAATGCACATGGTTACATGGTTGACAGCTAAAAAGTAGATTTAAAGCAAAATGATTTACTTGTGCTTTGTAAAGGGGATTAAAAAAAGAGACAGAATGCTTGCAGCCTTGGTGGAAGCGCTCCTCAGATTTGTGTATTTGAGGGTGATTGGTTCATTGGCTGGGTACTGTTGAAAATATGGTAATTCTCTCCTGGATATAGTGGCACAAGTTGGATAGCCAATGAACTCATTGCTCTTGTATATTCTCCTCCAACAAAAAATTCATCTCAGTGGCAAAATATCTTTGTCTGGGTGCTCTGATATACAGAAAACAGTGCATGTTTCTCAGTGTGAACCAGGTGTTCCAGTTACTCCCTATAGACTGATGTGACTCACCTGTTTTCTATGTACTTATGCTTCTGCCAAGACTACTAGAAAGCCTTATAATTATGACATCAGGCATATGTGGCATTAGCAAGGCCCAAATTAAATTTCTTCGGGGTGTCCTACAGGTGGCACTATAATTTCATTGTGTTGAATAGTAAAGCAGTCACCTCTGGGTGGTTCCTACATCTCCCTGTGGACTCTGGAATTTGCGTGCCACGGCAGAGAGAGATCTGAGGAAATCCTGAGTATCCCTAGACAGCACAACTCTGTGCTGCTTTGAAGAAACATGTCTGTAATATTTCAGAGTACAAAGGAAAGTTCACTTCAAAGCATGAGACAATCTACCTTATTTCTAACAATGTTTGTCACTTTGAAGAAGATTTAACAGTGCACATTCAGTCTATTCTAGTCTAATTCAATATGTGAAATAGGTAAAGAACGGTGTAAAGAGCATAATTAAAATTTAGTTTTTTATGCCACTGTTAATTGTTGATTTGTTCTATGAGTCTATATACGCATGACTGAAACTACTGAATGCATAGGCCAGAAAAATACCCAAAGCCACAGGTCCTCATTATTTTCTTTGTCTCCTAGGACTAATTAAAATGTAACTTACTGAAGCACCTGCCCCCTATTTTTTCGGTAGGGCTGTTCATTTTGATTTCTCAGTGCATCAGGTACTCAAAAAGGAAAAATGGGAAATAAAAATAGTTGGTGCAAAACTGTTAGAAGCATGTGCTCCTCTGCAGGCCTTGCTGTCAGCCCCATCCCTATTTGGATGTTGTTTCCTGGGACACACCTTGTAGGTGACCCAGAAAAAAAGAACCGGTTGTGCTTCATGCCCATCCTTCCTTTTGTCCCAAGGGCTTCCCTCAGCATGTCTGGGCTTGGGCTGCCCTGCGCCTTCAGCACCTCTGGGTGCAGGGTTCTTCCCTGAAGGACCCCTGAGAGAGCGAGGCTGAAGGGGCACCTGAAGAATGGGTCAGCAACTGAGACTGTGCTGAGACTTGCACAGAGGGATTTCTTACAGAGAACCTATCCCATGCTCTCCTGTCTCCCATAATGCACTCAGAGCCTTTTTTCAGATGTATTTGATTCTAAGTTTTTAACCAATTTCTATTTGTGAAACAAAATGTTTAAAACTAGTTATCTGAAAATATTTCTTATTTTTCCATTCCATGCTCAATTTTATTTCTACCTCGCTTGGTTCCAGTGTTAATTGCTCTGATAGGCATGGCTTTTAGCACTTACTTTGATGCCTGGCTTGTGGTTTGCATAGTCATGACTTGTAAAAGACACACCAGTTTCCTCTTGGGCAACTTCAGCTTTGCAGCCAATTCCTGTAAGAGTTTCCTCTCTGCTTCGTGAGGGATGGGAGTTGACGGGACAAGTGTGGCTCTTCGTCAGAATTCCCTGTTGGTAAGGCAGTGGCTTCTTTCTTTCCTTTTAAGTGACGGACGTAGTTGTCTCTGCCTAGTGACATATATTTTCTTTTTTTCTTTCTTTCTTCTTAAAGCAAAAAGACTAGTTTTCATCATTGAGAAGTAACATTTGCTTGTGCAGTAAGGGAAGTTCACACTGGCACGTAATTGCTGTTCTTTATAAATGGCTGTGTAAAAGGCCTTATACTTCCCCTTTTCCTCTGCTGTAGTTTAAAAAAGCAAATAGGTGACCTAAAAATAATGAATTCATCAGGAATAGTGAAGCTTGTTTGTGGAGTGAGGATAAGTGTCAGGATGTGTATGAACAATTTCTACTTTGAACAAGTTCAATCCAGTTATGTTTCAACGAGATCCAGCAAAGGTCAGGGTTACAGCGTACTCATCATTTCATCAGGCAAATCAGATCTTTGTGAGGAGAAGCAATCAATATGGAAACAGCAGTCGCTTTATTGATATAAGGTTCTTAAAATTGTACAAATCTAGTATAATTTGTAGAGTATGTACTGTGCAGTACAGGGGTAGAATGTAATATTTTGTGTTGACAGTGCTGGGTAGATTGACTTCTGTTTTCAATATGAAAAGATCTTGGAATACATTAATTTTAATCTTTTTGTCATAGACGTGAATAGATGCAGTAAAGATGCAGAGAAAGTACTATGTGAATAGATTCACTCTCACTACGAAAAATAGGACATCTGGAATTACTATCTTCTGTCCCTTGCCCTGAAACACAAAACCCAAAATACTGACTATATCTCTTGACTCCAGTTTTCCTGCACAGAATGCTCCTCTGGTGGAAGCTGAGATTAACACTTTGTTTAATCTTTTCCTTACCTGTTGGCTTTCAGTAAGTCCTTTTTAGGGTGTAGGGTTAAAACTTTTTTTTTTTTTTTTTTTTTTTTTTTTACTGAGGTCAGTTATATTAATTGCAGTCCTCAGAAGGCTCATTGTCTCTGCTCAGGAGCTGCAATTTAATTCAATAAGATTTCCTTGTCTGCTAGTTGCACCATTTTTTTTCATGATCTGCAACAACTCATAAATGGGAGAGGAATTGTTCTGGTATCTTCTCATCAAACGTTCTTTCTGTACCTTCCCCTGTGGTGACTTTTTTACAGTTTCTAGAGGCAAAACGCCTCTTTCTGGTAAGGAAACTGTGCCCCCCTCTAGGTGCTGACTCTGGTGACATGGGTGCACACCCTTTGAGCAGGACGCAGTCCTGTGTTGTGCCTCAAGTCAGAGGTTTTGAAGCTCTCTGCTTTCAGAGGCTTCACCATTTTGACTTCTCCCGGCTTTCTGTCTCACTGCCACCTAAGAGAGAGCAGTTTATTCCTCAGAGCAGGAGGAGTGGGTACTCACAGTGCTGCAGCATTTGTTTTTCGTTTACAAATTATCCTGATTTAATAGCACAGGAAGGTGAAATAGCATATTAAAGTGTATACTGTCTGTAAACGTGTTCTCCAGGACTGCACCTGCATGGGATCCTGGAAGAAATAGGGTGACAGAAAACTCTGTTTTGTTCTGTAAATGGCAAGAGCCAGTTATACGAGGCTTCTAATGTTCTTGTGAGCTTCTTGTGCAAGCTGCCTGTTGCTTGTTCTCATGCTTACTGGGAGATCTGATTTCTTCTGAGGCTGTCCAGTGGTCAGAAAGCAAAATTTGCTTCTCAGTTCTGAGCATGTTTCCCCAAGTGGATGCAGCAGCAGGGTACCGCATGACCAGCAAGGCAGTCACTCCTACATCTGTGTGTTTGCTGCAAAGTCTACGGGGAAGGCATTGAGCTGGCATGGGTTAGAAAGCTTCAGTGATGGTTAAATTGCTCTGGTCTATTTTGTCTTTGTTAATTCCAGGTGGCAAAGTGATCCCACTTGACCCTCTTGCCCATCCCTTCTGCATGCCTGTATGTACCCTAGAAAAAAAATAATCGTGACTCAATTGTGAGTGAATGGGATGAAGATACGTTTGGAAAAAGACGCAGTGGTAACGCACAAAGAAACTGTACAGAAGTATTGTACACTCCCTCTAATAAATGGTATAGACATGGAACATGCTGCAAATCAGCTTGCCATGGTGAGGTTTGAGCAGATTCTCAGTTGCTCTTGGCTCTGGACATAGAAGCAGTAATGTAGAGTGTTTTGCAGAGGGTTGTGCTGCTAAATGACAGGTTGAATAGTTTCATCATTTTGTGCAAAGAAATGTCTTCAAAGGATCACTCAGCCATCTGCTAAGGTACCTCGGACTATTTATGGCTAATGTAGCTAGTACTATTTATGGGCCTGGACAAAGGGTCTTGCCTGCTGCATCACTTAATGCTAATGAAATAATGATGCGTGTGGTTACACAATCACTGAGCGGGGAGATGGGCACTGAGGTAATACACTTATATTACCCCTTTCTGCATCTCAGTTTCTCTCTCGGTTGAAGCAGAGCCATGTTTCTGTATTTTAAGGATTTTTCTGAAAAGCAGTGCATGCAGTTAAAGGCATAGCTCATTTAGCTGTCATTCTCAAAGCGTCTATATGTGTTTGTGCCTTAGTGACATTCATTTCTAAAAATATTTCTCTTCTGCAGCCTCCTCTACTCTCTAATTGTTCCCTTCTCTTTCCTATCATCAAGTTTCAGTCTGAATGCCCTCCAGCATCTGCTTCTTTTGCTTTTGCTGTGGGGCATCTCTGGATATGTCCCATGAATAGACTGAATTCCTCTGATAGGAGCATGTCTGTCCTCCTTGAGCTTCATCCCCTGCCTCTGGCATAGCCAATACTTCAATTGTCCCCATGTTCTTGTCTTTTTCATCTCTAAACAGGTCTTGCTGATTGCTTCCAAGAAGAAAAAATCAATGAAATGCCATAGTTTTGTCCCACCTACTAGCACTTCTTCTTCACCTGCTTCACCTGCAGATATGGCTTCCTCATTTGGGGGATGAGGATTCCTTTTCCCTAGAACCTCCTTTAATCTTTCTGAATTTTCTCAACTAGTATATTATTATTTCTTTAATTAAGTGCAATCAATCAACAAAAAACTCTGCTTTCTCCCACCATTTAATCCTGGAACTTATATTTGACTCTTTTTCTGAGAATCTCTACTTAAAATCTTAATTTCTGTGACTCTGACTGTCAGTGGTTCTCCATCTGTTTTTTGAGACAAACTAATAATCTTTCAGGAGATGCTGGTATATCCCAAAATATTGTGTTTAGTTTGCTAAAGAATCCTGTCCTCTGATCCATTTCTTCTCTGCCCTTTGAGTGATTTTGTTCACAAACATCAGCTTGGATTCTCCATTCATACAGAGAAGGTCTACTCCTATAACATAGAAGCTATCTTTTTTTCTGGCAGAGTTTAGCCTGTCTCTCCGATATGCTGTGGCTCAGCCTTTAGCTGGACTGAGCATGACCAACTGCTAAATCATCCCCTCTCACTTCTGATGGTGAAATTATGTTCCAAGCGCCTTCTTCAGTTCTCTATCTTTGTTTCCAAGCTATGGTTAGTTTTGCACATTCTTTCAACTATTTTCACTCTCCATGCACACAAATAAACTGTCATCTAAGTTGTCATTATTTCATGTTCTGCTTACTGAAATCTCCGATTCTCTGATCTTGACAAAAACAGTTTCACCTCCTCATATAAACTTAGAAACTCACTGCAGTGGTATAATTTTCTTCTCTGCTTCTTTGTTGAAGTCTCCCAGCCTATCTACACTTCTGGACAGTGTCTTACATAAACTGAGCTTTAACTTTCATTTTGAATTCCCTCTTTCCCCTCTTACAGTGCTTTCATATGCTCCTAAAACTATTCCATTATTATTTTTCTAAGCTCCATGCTAAGGCACTAACATGAAACTTGACACTATCTGAAACCTAACACATGATTCTGGTGACTATGGTTTCATTGCTATCTCGGAATTCTGGCTTTTGTCTATAACCTTTTCTTGTAACATGTCTTAAACTGGTAGCTATTGGGAGCAGAATTCCCTTCTCTTTTCTTCTGTGCTCTTACAGTACCTCACACACAGTCTATTATAATGGAAATAAATAAGTTGCAAACCTCATTACTAACTCTTCACCAAAAAACTACTTGAATAATATTTTGGGTGGTAAAACTGTGAATAATTTTACATAGTTCTCTTCTCTGGTACATTGTGTAGCTGCTTTGTTATCCTCATTTCTTCTTGCAGGTCTCAAGAGAACTCACGCTCTTATTCTTCAGCGCATCGAAGTCTATGCATTTCCTCTAGGAATAGCTTTTTGGTAAAATCACTATCAAAGTACTGCATGAGCTGAGTCATATTAATTGTGCTTATTTTCTCTTAATCTAAAGCAAATGCTGCTGCTAGGTAATTTAGTTTAGCTTAAATCTCTACCGTAGTTAATATGTCTTAGCAGACAGATACTAATTTGCCTGTGTGTCTGAGCTTTCTGTATCTCCCTAGTACAATCAAATTATTTGTGTGCATCTCGTAAAGCTCAAGGAGAGCAAAGATGATGTCAAATAGTCAGATTTTCTCAGAAAGCAACATTGTGGGAATGTTTGTAGTAAGGAGGAAGCTGCATTTCCAGAATTTGTTGTTGAATATCTTTTCAGTTAAGAGCAAATGGGAAATTGGGAAGGAGGTAAAGGGGGTGGAGTGGAGAAGCAGAAAGTATTATTATTATGTACTGGCAATTTAGTGCACTGGAGGGGTTCTTTTCAGGTGTGATTTTTGTCTCGTGTCTCTACGTGGAGTCTTGTGGATCGTGCCCAGGTATACAATCAGCACACTTAAAGCACTTTCTCTCCTGCTGAGACTAAGATTGAAGCTGTTCTCTTAAGTGCCACATAGCATACTCAATTGCAGGGGGATGCAAGGCTCTGTCTGTATTCTGAAAATGTTGTCTGTGTGTGGAATAAACCGAGTTGCCAGCAAAGATGCATTATGGAGATACAGTTCTAGAAGAGTGGATGACAGCAATTGAACTCTGGTCTTAGGTTTCTGCAACAACA